TGCTCATGGGATACTCCTGGGCGGTCAGCAAAACTTTGAGTCTGCCAAAAATGTGTGTGTGCGCATGATGAAGAGTCGGCTCCTTGAAAGCTCAAGCTTGCTGCCTCCCTCCAAGTACTGAGTCCACGACCGTGCCAAACATGGTCGTCGGCGGAAAGGATTGGACAGGGATGGTCACCTGAGACGCGTGGCACACAAATTGGCTGAACACAAACAGTGTTTCACGCACGAAGGTGGCTTCCGGACGGTTGCGCTGGGTATCGGATGCAACCCGCAAAAGCCAACACTTTGGCAAATGCTTGAAGGGCGGTCGTGTACTAGCAAGGCGATCACATCCAAGTCTCAAGCGCGAGCCTCCGTAGCAAAGCCTCCAACCCAATCATAAGAGTACTTCAACTATAAATCTCTGATACTAGTACTAATATTGCGTATGTGCATCTCATACAGGATACTGAACCTAGCACTACGAGTACTACCAGCATGCGAGTAAGTGACAAGCAGTAATGATAAGTAGCACAAGTAATCCAACAATGCTAATAGTGCCAATATCTCGAACAAACACCAAATAAATGCTTCACACATAGATCGGTACAGTAATAAAAATACGGCGACTACTGACTAGCAATCCAAAATACTGATAACTCTCTCTGGCAACACTGCCAATAACCGTATTCAAGAATAAGAGGCGGAGGTGGCAACACAAACGGGCGGGAGCCAAGCCGACTTTCCGCTTGCTTTGTTTTCACGTTCCCCCCTCTTTCTTCACTCATGATTTACCTCACAGAACGTTTACTCTTTTCCTTCGGCGACCGATTCGGCCACAGACCAAAGGTTTTTCTGTTTTTTTGGAGGGGGTGGGTGGGGAAAACAAAATGAAAAAGCAATTGGGCAATAAAACACAACACACGTTTGCCATACAAGCTTGCCTTGTATACACACAGACTGCACGACATATGCGACTCGTAACCCATGGAGAATAATACTCTTCATTACAAAAGTCTCCCATCCGATGTATAAATTCTAAATGGACCGGTGAATTTGACTAACGCATTGAATGGCCGGGGATTTTTTTTATAGAATCAAGGTCAGCCACTGGTACAACCAATGTGCCAAAATCAAATTATAATCAAAGGCTCTTCTATTTTGTAAGTAGGGGCCAGATCCATTGAATTGAGATGACACACTTTACAACATGGTCCCATTTTTTGCAGGAGAAATAACTTAGAGGATGATAAATCTCATACTGATTTGTACTCTTCGAACGCAGGAAAAATAGAAGGCAGTGAAGAACAGCTGCTGGGAATCCCGGTGCCTCAAAGCACTATCGCAATCAGGGGCGAGATAGAGTCATTGAAAAAGAAGCCACAAGCCGCTTACAACTGCACAACATGATATCATCTAAACAAGCGAATGCTAGATTACACTCGCACTAACTAGATACGAGTCGCCCCAAGCTTCAAAGGTAAACTATTGAATGGCATTGGCTAACATAGTTGGAGGTCAATTGTACTCGTTGAATAGATTCTGCTTTGCAAAATGAAACCACATATTTTCCATGAATTTGGGAACGAATTCGTGGAATACATTGGTAAAACCGATGTTTTCCAACATGTCTATGTTTTCTGACGCCATGAACCCCAGGCCCTGAGATATCACTGGGAAACTTTGAAAAACAGCCTTGGTTTGAATGCGAAATAGGGATAGCAATAGTTCACAAACAACCCAAAAAGCTTAATCCCCGAACTCTATAAACTCTAAACTCTTTTTTTTGGTTTTTGACTCTAAACTCCTTAAACCCGTAATTTCCCAAAGCCTGCCATCTCCTGAGGTTCGAACCGCAGAAGCCCAACTAGGCCTCGAGGCGGCGCTGGCCTCGAGATGGGAGGTCGGCTACGTCAGACTCTACGTAAGATTATGTGCTGTTTTGTCTCTCTCTCTCTCTCTCTATATATATATATATATTTGTATGTATATATATATAATTATTATAGCTATAACTTTAACTATATATAATTATAATTAAAGTATACATATATATATATATATGTATTTATTTATTTAAGTTCGTTTAGAAATAAAGAGAGAACTATTTGCCACGAAGACCCTGGGGCTCCAAGTAATTCAATCCCTGCGTTGAGGCGGGGGGGGGGGGGGGTCTAAAGTCGATGAATACTTCGGGCCATGCTGGGGCCCGTTGGCGCTCACGGCCTGGGGGAGACTAGAAGACAATAGGTTACGATCAGCAGTTCAAGATTCTAAGGTCTCCGTTGCCAAAGACTTCGCTTGGGCGTAGTATGAAGTGGGGTGTTCTGCTGGCCCCTGTGGGGCAAAGCGAACTTTTAGAGCTTCTTTCACAAGCCTGGGGTCTGGGGATATTCAACTTTTCCCATCTTGCGTGTTCTCACAGAGCCGACAGTTCAAGTCTTAGAGCTACCGGCAACCGTCTGGACCGGTCCTCACACTCCAAACCCGAAGCCTTGAATCCTAACCCTGTTGACTTCAGCTTGGTCCTTACATGCAAGCACCCGCTGCAGATACAAGCGTCAGGTGTTCATACTTCGACTAAGCAAGTCGAACCAACAATTTTGCATCATAACAACATCTCGAAATCACGCCCTTGAGCCGTAATTAGAGTCCAGGCCTGAAAGACACATAAAAAGTAGCCCCAAACACTAAAATATTATGCGACGCAACCCTTACATAACAGACTACACAACTCCTTCATACTTACAGATCGAGGTTTCGAGAAGCATATGCGCCCACGCCTCAGCCATGTGCCGTGCAGAGGCTAGCTCAGACCGTGCCTGCACCGTTTTTTGAGGGCATGGGCGGATGCAGGATATCGTTTTGGGGAGAAGTGGACCTGTAGTAACCATGGTCAGTCTCACTAAGAAATTCCGTCTGGGGTACGTCTTCACACTGACTTGATTCGGGTTTCTTGGCCGAAAGGCCAATACGGGTGATCTAATGATCAGGCTTAAGTCTTAGGGTGTCTTTCTGCCGAATTTCTTGTGACAAATTGGAAGTCGATAATGCCCCTACCATGCTTACTCCCAAACTCCCCCCATGCCTCAAGCACAACTTCCTGTAGCACCTTTCCAAGAAGCCCTTGGCCACTTCGAACTCAAAGGCACACACAGAGCGACTGCAATGCTGCCTCGGCCAGTTGCTGCAGGGCCTCAGCACGAAGAAGAAGCCCCACTTGAAAACAATCAGAGCGCGCCCGCCAACCGTCAGACAAACAGATGGCGTAGCAGGCACCTCTGAGACAAAAAAGCATGGGGCGCACACATGCAGCGTGGCAAGCACTCTTGCTTAAGCCTTGCTTGGGGGGTGGAGCGATGGGGATGTCGGGTTGTGGCAGAATTGAAGCTTTGGCCAGGAAGACGCACCTGCTTCCTGAACCCTACGCCTAACCCCGAAACTCCAAACCCTGGTGCCGAGCAGGCACCTGCTCGACCTCGGTTGTCTTGGCCTCCGGCGCTGGAGCGATGATCCAAAGTCCGAGTCGGGTGACCGGATATAGGGTCATGAAGGTTCGCAAAAACACGGGCTGCTCGTAGATGTACGGCAAGCAGTTTCAGGAGGTTGTGCTACACAGATATGTATGTACATCAATATATATATATATATATACACACACATATTTTCAAGCCTAGGTGGCGTAGCGGCTGTGCACCAACCCGAACGCCTAACCGAGTGAAGTGGGTAAGCTGGTTCGCCACCTGGACAGCGGTCGTGGCCGCTGCGGCATCTGTGAAGCCAGCGGCCTTGAGAAGCTCACTGAGCGGAGGTTTTGGGACCTTTGGGGGCAAAGCTGCTTCTTGGAGGGCACCTTGCCAGGGCCCACCATGCTCCCCCCCCTGCCCTGCTGGCCTGGAACTGAAGCAGCTTCTGCTCAGAGGCCTTTCAAGTTGGCAGAAAATGTGCTTCTTGTAGGCTTGCATGGAGGATGCTGGCCCGGAGGTACAGCTCACGCTTCTTTTCCTTTTAGACCACATACCCTCAACACCTTCAACACCCTCAACACCTTCCCAGCTGTAGCCTGACGCTTCTCGCGCTCTTCGGACAGCTCCTGGGGAGGTGGGCTTGCAGGCTGTGAGAAAGCCACACTGAGAAGATTTTATGAGGTACACTTGAGTTGCTAGGCTGCCCAGGATCAGTAACCTGCGAATAGAAAAGGTGCCCGTTTTTGATTGAAGCGGCTTGCAATGTACCCTAATCAGGAGTAATGGACGGGCACTATCGGGCACCATAGTTTGCGCCCTAGGTGCCAGCTTGTAAAATCGTGGCTGCAGGTACGCATGGCAGTTTTTCGTCCCTGCTGCGATGACGTGCGTGCGCGTGCGATCACGGCAACTTCTCTGGCTCCTGCCATGTTGACAGGTGAACTTGCGACTGGTTCTTCAGAGTGATGTTTCTTGCGCTTTTGGCAAGAGTACTTGGGATTTGCGACGTCGACTCAACGCTTACATGGTGAGCTCTTAGCAGAATCGAACCTACAGCCTTGGCCCTTTTGTCGCATCTCCAAATCTTGTTTGTTCAAGTCTGTTTCGGGGGGACCCTTCCACAAGCCAGGCCTCTGACACCTAACCCCTAAACCTGCCACCCTCAGATGCAATTGTCTGCAAGACCAGACAACCTGGCGCCGTCTCTAAAATTTAAAACCACAGGTGGCCAGCAAACCTAAGACACAACTCGGCAACATGAACAAGAACTAATAATAGTTAGTCGTGGAGGAGGGGTGGAGGAGGGGTGGAGGAGGGGAGGGGTGGAGGAGGGGAGGGGTGGAGGAGGGGAGGGGTGGAGGAGGGGGAGGGGTGGAGGAGGGGTGGAGGGGTGGAGGAAAACGGCTATGAACTTGAGCTGCAATTGGGAACCAAACCATTCTGGAGTCATTCTTGGATACTATTGAATGGATCTCTGTATTGGAATGTTCAACTCTGAGCCCTGGAGGTTCACTCAGTTGCACAGTAGCAGCAGCAGTAGCATGGTCTGCATCAGGCTGGGCAAACAATCCACTTCGGCTCGTCTGCTTCATCGCTTGATGTCAGTTCATCTCCCGAAAGAACAGCATCATAGCCGGTGCGCGGTGCGACTCTGTGGAGCTGCCATTCTGGATGCGTATTGATGACCGACTGGATAGCCGCTGCACTCAACTGCCATTCTGTGTCGTGGAACCCGCCCAACAGGCGCACGGCCCTACCAAGGAAATCCAGGAGCAAGACGAGGAATACAAAAGCCGCAACTCCTTGAAACGACCACATCCAACTTCGCTCGAAAACGTCTCCCCCATGATGCCAGAATTCCGGAACCACGCGTATTGTCGAATAGATGCTGCACATCCACAGCAGCAGATACCAAAACAGGTCGGACAACGGCGACAAATCACGAAGGATTTCGCAGAGTGCACCGTTAGCTATCGCATGACGCCAAAACGAAAAAGAGTAAGAGAACCGAAGGCACAAACCAAGTGGAGCAAGGGCTGCAAAAAATGTTGCAAGCTTCGCTGCTCCCAAAAGATGCAGTGACCAATCTTGCTTTACGGCAACACTCATGAGCTTGCGAAACAGAGGGCCGCTGGTAAGTGTTGCAATGAGAGTATGCTGCGCGAACACCCAGCAAGACCGTCCTGTCCGCAGCAGGCGGTGCAGTTCAACCTTCTCTTTGGCAGAGAGTTGCGGCGGTGGGGCATCAGGAAGACCAGCATCCCCGTGCAATCCCACTGTCAGCAAAGAGCCAGTCGGATGCGTAGGGGCTGTAGCACGAACCACCCTAAATGGAACGTCGTACGTGACTGCATACAGATAGTCACCATGAAAAACAGCCAGCATCAAGCTTGTAAGCTTACTCTGCGTTGTGTACCTACCGCGTTTCGCAAGCCAATATGACAGACAAAATCTGTGTCGTCATGCTGAGTCTTTACTACTGCGCAGTCATTAACTACGAAGACACCGGCACGAAAAACACACACAACATATTATGCTGCGATTGACCCAGACACAGAAGGAGGCCCGCTGGGACCACAGTCACAAGAGCATTCAACGTTGGCAGCTGGTAATAACACGCCAAGCCGGCAGCCTGCCTCTCCGTAGACGTGGATATGAAGACTTGTGAAGCCCCAGCAGCCCAGATAAAGGCACTGACACAACCTACAGACTGACAAACCCAGGATGCGATTCCCAGCCTCAGAGTGATCTTTTCGCTTGCTTCAGATAGTAAAGCCCAGTCATGCAGAATTTTCAGCAGCGTCCACCAGGCAATGCACGCCAAGCTCACATTTCTGGAAGCCGAAGCCTTGAGGTGGTCTTCAATGGCAGCACGGCTGGCTGGATCTTCACAGTATGCCTTCGTCGCATTTTGATTGTTCGGTAAGATCTCCTCCTTTGCCATGAGAGATCCGAATACCGCAGGAAGGTATGCATACAGAAGAGGGACCGAGCTGAAAAATGAGACATCTGGAGCAGCAGCCTGGAGTCCACGACCATTCTGGACAGACACGTACCTACCCCAGGGAGAAGAACGTGCCTTTCTAGGCTGCTCACACGCTACTGTCTCGAAGCGACAGCCAACGCAAGCGTGAAAATACTCTACTGATAACTATCCTAGGCTCAGCGGCAGCCAATGAAAGAGGCGGATGGATGGATTTGTCAGGTTTCCAGCGCTGAGCTGCACGTTGGCCAAAGTCGTTGCAGGCAAATCATGTGTTCCGAAATACCTGATGAAGACGCATTCCGCACCATCCACACAAGCTACATAGTCTGAGGGCAGCCTCTCGTGGATGAACACGGCCACAAAGGGATATGAGGTCAGGCACGTGAGAACCATGCATTTCAGGTACTGCATCATGGTTTGCGCTCAGCGATCCTGGCTCATTGATGTTCAGGGCTCCTCCATTGCATGTTAGGCTTCGGCCGTGTGCTCAAAAACCTGAAACTCTGGAAGTAGCTGCGGCATCTCACAGGAACCCGAAGGGCCCGGAATGAGGATGGCCCTGTTTGGACAAGACCCAGGCCTCAGGGACCAAAAGCCATATGCAAGCGCCCGGTTGGCATACGCCTAACTGCATTCGGGCAGTTTGCGATCTTCCAGGTCTTTTCAACCTCGAAGCCATACGAAAACCAAACCCAGACAAACAAGTAAAAACTAGTTGGAGTGATAAACACAACACAAAATGAAGAGAGTGGTGCTTTGCGACCAGCTAGGATCTGACGAGCATGCCCCAGAACATTTGGGTAAGGAATTTCGGCGTTTCGCAGGAAGCCCGAAAGGTCCCGGAGTGACGAGCAACGCATTCTTGTGGCCTGAAGAAAGGCAACCGAAACTCGAATCTGCAATACGCCTGGCCCTGTCTGCAATGACCGGCTCGAAAGCTGTCATGACAAGGTGTGATGAGAGCATGGCATTTTAAGTGGTGAAAGCAAACCACATGCACTTCTCAGGCAGAAAGAAACGATGCATTCGGGCCGCCTGCAGTCTTCCAGGTCTCTTAACTTTGAGTGTCTGTGTGTTCATCAAAACCCCAAACCATACCAAACCTGCAGCGGCCAGTCCGAACGCAGGTCCAGCTCAGGTTGACATGTTTCTCAGCGCGCTTCAAGGGCCAGATCCCAAAACGCACAAACACTCGGAACGGAAAGCATATTTCAGAGTTACAAAAGCATTTGGGCCACGAGAATCAGCCATCGTGGCATCCGAAAGATTCGTTCGGCAATGGTTTCCCTCGTGTTGTTCTCTGGGGTTGGCCAGTTGAACTGGCGCATCCTTGATTGAAATATTTACCTTGTCAAACACAATTCGAGCAAATAGCACAGAGGCAGGTTTCTCTTGGACCTCCCCTCCGGCAGCTTTTCCCCGAACGGTCCTTCACAAACCACTGAAACCTGCATCAGCAATGCCTCTTGGGTACAGTGTCTTGTAGAAAGCTGCCCCATGCGCATCCTAAGTCCGGAGCAATTAGAAACCAGCTCGAGCAAGCTACTCCTTCTTCGCAGAACCTCCACTGTAACGACCTAATGAAGTTTTATTTTGTTCCATATTCGATGTCACTTTCCCTTCTATGGCAAACCAATTGGAGGACGATAGGACCGATATGAGCGTGCTTTTCTCCTCTGTTGTTCCGCCAAATTGGCGGTCCGATTGAAAGGGATCACGAGGAGTTCTGAAGGTCCGTGCTTTAAGCATTCCCATTCACTGTGCTGTCTCCTTCTTGCTCCATGTTCAGCTTTGCTGTGTCCTGGCCATGCCCATGCAAGGTCCTGCTTGGACTACCTTCACATATTCCTTCCTCCGAAAAGATCTTGTCGAAGCCATCCTTATTCGTGGTATCCCCCGACTCCGCCATCTCGCCCAGCTTCTGCAGTGAGAACAGTTCCAGCACCCGACTTCCATAGCGTTCACAGACGTGCCCGTCTGGCACATCGCCTCGAACCCATGCTTGGTACATGTCTTCCCCCGCTTCTGAAGCAATGAACCGCAAGTCCACATGCACTGGGTCCAGGACTCCGCCGTTTCTTCCGCCCTTCGACGTAGCTCCCTCGTCCCGGGTGGCTTCAGGATCCTGACTTGGGGGACCCGCAGTTGCTGTGGACTCCAGGGTCACGGTCTGCACTCCAGGTGGGCCAAGACCATTGAGGACTTTCATCATCTCTTGGCGATCCCACCTGGATTCAATGTTGGGATAACACCATATGCATTACACGCTCTACAGTACTCGTCCGTCCCCTGAATAGGAAGGAAAGGAATGGATCCAGCTTGTGGGTTCTATTTCGCGTTGTTCTCTACTCCCTCAGCATCTTCAAAGGGTTTCTGCGCAGTGACCCAGCCACGTCCAGTTCACGACCAGGTCCGACAGGAAGAAGACTCCCTCCTCGCTGACGTTGGCATTGACGTTGCCGAGCGTTAAGGCTCCGGTCGGGTCGCCTCCGTGGTTCAGACCAGGGAACTCGTAAATGGCTTTTCTTGCAATAAGGGTTGCTTGCGGGACTCTAGAGGAAATCGAATGATGAACTAGAGGGGGCTTCGAAAAGCATGCAGAGGCGGTCGCCTAGTGGTATATACTGCTTGGAGAATGTGTCGGTGTTCAAAGCATCCTCGGCGGGCTGCTTGATGATGGCCAGGAGTTGAGAAGCCATCATCAGGTTCACCGGGCCTTCAGTCCCGAAAAACTGCGTGTAAGAGTATAATCCTTACATCAACCACGGCCAACAGGCCGCCCTGTCTTCATTACTTCTGGTTCCCCGATGACCCCGCATCCAAACAAACTCTCACGAAGGATCCTCAGAAAGACCCATGATTTGAGATGCCTGCAAGAAGTTCATGTAACACAGGCTTGTGCAACTATCACCAGGGCCTTTTAGAGGGTCAGGTATATTTTGCTGTTGGGTTTGACAAAATTACAAGCGACTAGGCAACTCTAAGGTGAGACTTGTCATCGTAGAACCCACTCACCTTCTGAGAACTGGGCCGGCGATGCTGCTACCTTCTCGAATGTTCGACGGTTCCAGAATTGTTGCGTGGGCTCTGAGCTGCTGAGGCCCCCCAGCAGTCGGACTGGGCTCCACAAAAAGCTCGACCCGCCCATGGACATCAGCAAGGACGGAGAAGAGGAACTCGGAGGTGTCGTAGAGCATGGAAGCTTGCAGCCGGCGAAAGCTGAACACCATTGGGACGTTGATGCCCATGCGGCCCTTTTGGAAGTCGAAGGTCGGCAGTTCCCTGCCCACATCTGCTCGCACAAGCAGCCTCACGCGCCAGTGTGTCTTTCCAGGTGCATGTCAATACATCAGCATCTTCCCTCATGGTAAACAGAATGAGAAACTGCTCTTTTCTCTCCCCCGATACTAGTACAAACCTTAGTGCTGCCCAAAGAAAGCCTGGAGCTTGCAATGGAAAAGAACATGGCCCTTTAGTCCGCAGGGTAATGCCTGAATGGTTGAACCCCTGACCCTTAGTTGGCAGCGCAAGCAGCGGTTGCGTTGATGGGTACAGATCCTTCAACCCGGGGGCCAGGATAGACATGAAGTCGGTGTCCAGCTTTAGACCTATGCGGACTCACGAAGAGGTTTGGGTGCTTGGGCTTTGGTGGAGTTCTAGGCATTTCGCAGCGACCATGGCTTAGAGTGTGTAGTTCCCATGTCATGTTTTTTGTTTCCTCCATGGCTGTCTCTCAGGCCTAGTGCGTTGTCTGGGACACCGCTGGGCAAGAGCGTGTAGCTGAGGATGCCGGTGGAGTTCAGCATCCACAAGAAGCCTTGACACAGGGAGTGCTTGTAAAACGGACGCAGGCAAGGCAACAACAAAAAACAACACAGAGTTCGAAGCAAGCCGCACTCCACAGTCCTCTTCGACGCAGTTATGGATGCCATGCGTGTGGACCATGTGGAAGGAAGGGCGCTTTGGAAGGGCTCCTGGGGAAACGGGCAAACACGATCTGTGTGGCTCACCGATGAGATGGCGCCCCGAATATCCACCTGAAGGTAATCCTGCTTGGTCCCAATGTAATCCAGAGCGAGATTGATCGACAAAGAGTCATGAACCTCTGGCATTGGGAGTAAGACTTTCAAGTCCAAATCATTCAGCATTCGAGCAAGGTCGCTGTTGATGAACGTTGAGACTTGATCTCGGATCTTATTGGCAGCTACTTCTTCCAGCTTCGACTGGAAAAGCCAGGCACCCCAGTTCATGACCCAAGGAAAGTTGGACTGGCTGAATGAGACTGACTCCAAGTCAAGGTCGGCATCCACTTGAGCGAGCTTGACCTGAGGAAGGCCATTCCGCGTGCTGACCTGGATGGAGGCACACACAAAGCCGTCTGGCATCACGACGTTGACCATGCCAGAATCTGATAGGAATTGCCACTCTGCATGCCAGCTGGAGGAGATGTTGGCCGTGATTTCTTTCAAGCATAGCTGGATGCCGCTGGGCATCTGGAATAACATATCTGGATGTTTTACTGCAATGTTGTGGATGTTAATGTTCCACATTCGGTAGCTGATGCCGCTGTATGTCCCGCTTGCGCCCTCGCTAAGCTGGACGTCAGAAAGGCTCTTTAGCACGTTTGGCAAGAGCCTTACTGGTTCGGAAACCGTGGGAAAATGGATGTGAATTGTTGCATTGTCATCCCCTCCCCTGTAAAACGCCTCCCACTGCTGAAGCCTATTTAGAACTTTCCTTGTATCCCACACTGATACAACTTTACTCCCACTCAGACAAACCCCGAGTACGTCTTAGGATTACCTACTGTGCACTGCAGCCTCACTAGAATACAACAGCCGCAAGAGAATCCCAAAACAAAGAGACCGCCTTCTTCCAGGAGGCTCGTGCGTCATGTAGTCCAAGGCGTGCTGCGTGAGGCGCATGCGCAGCCCCGGATCTATCTCGCTTTTCTGCCGTTCCTTTCAGGAACTTAAATAAAAGAGCGGGGGTTCTAGGGTTTATAGGCATCTGAAAGAGGGGTTTCTAATTCTAATTGCTTAGAGTTCAGGGGGGGTTAACTATAGGGTTCAGGGCCCTGCTGGTGCTTGAGCACCCTGGGGGTCCTGAGCTCCCTGGACGGAAGTCAGAAGAGGGACGAGCGCAAGCAGTAGCCGCATCATGGGGACCATTTTCAGCAGAGAGGTGGCTATGCCGGCTATGCAACGCGCAGCAGCACCACAAAAGAGGGGTCTAGCACTTCCATCTTGAGGGCTCCGGGATCTTCAGGGGCCTTGATTGCTAGAAGCTTGGGGTGGTTGTTGATTTTGGGGGTCGCAAACTCTTGGAGGTCACGGGCTCAGATGAGGTTGCAGCCGACTTGTCTACGATCACTCTTCTCAGCAGCTGGATTCTGATAGCTTGTCGCAGGGTGCTTCACAAACGCTTCAGAGCCCGGATAACACGCTCCCAACATCGCGGTTGGAGCAGTTCCAACTGCAAAAAGCTGTCCGCATCCCGCCGTCCCTCCCTCCCCCCTCACCCCCTGGTGTCACTGGCTAGTGTCGTACTGCTCGTTGTAGTAGGTCGCTAAAACCTCGATACAAGCAAGGTTGGGTGCAGCTGTCCAGGAGTTGAGGCACTGGTGTGTGAACAAATTCGCGGACATCTTGCGGCGAAGAAGGCTCATCTCCAAAACATGAAAGATGAGTGTCCGCTCCATCTTGTCTTTGTACCGAGCCCCCCATTCCAACCCAGCCCCTTCAGCCCCTGCGGTGCGAGAGCTTTCCCCATCTCCGACACGGGGTCAGGGTCTCGGGTTCGGGGCTATAAGGGTTTAATCGCAAAGTTTTTGAGACGGGACCACAAACCTCAGGCCAGCACTGAAATCCCCGAGCGAAGCTGTGGCAAAGCATGAACACAGGTTTCATTGGGGGCTTATCAAGAAACATGTAGAAGGTGATCGCCGGAGTATTGGAGTGGCCTCAGCACCATGCGCGTGATCAGCTTTCAAGGGTATCGCCGATAGCTGTTGCGTTGTGGCGCGTAAGGCTACCTCGGCACCCACAGCGGCATCCTTAGTGCCTTGGTATCATCTTCATGTTCATCGACTCCGCAAAAGGAATTCTTCCTAAAAATAGAGTTGGAGGGTACCTCTATAGTCCGAAAGCGGAACCACTGCCGGATCGGTATTCTGGCTGATGCCCGACAGGCTTGAAGTCAGGCAATGTCTGCGACCAAGCCCACTGTTGCAAGAAGGTAGACATGCGTGTGTCTGTTGCTTTGCAGCTCAACATGACCGCACTTTACACTGCAAGCTCAGCAACCCATGCTGCAGGTCTCCTGCTGCAGGTGGATTTGAATAGCTCAACAAACTAACTCGGAGCAAGTTCTCTTCGGAGATCTAGGTTGCCTCGAGGCAGCAGGGCCTCTTCGGATAGATGCCCAAAAAAAGCCAGGCATCCTCCTTCACGCAACATGCAAACTATATTGAAATCGTAAGGATGCTCCAGGCTCTTGCAAATCTTATTTGGCCAGCCTTCCAGCAGAACTTGCTCACACTGATCAAGGTATATACAGAATTATGCCAATGCTTGTTGCTGCCAGGCATGGTGCAAGTATGTCCAGCTATAGAAAATATTTAGTCTGTCTAGCACAAAGCAGCCTAGCATAAACACCTGAGGCTGCACCAGCAGGCTGCTCAGCAACTGACTTGTCAACTGCACTGGGCACAGCTTCTTTCCTCAGCCTCGTTCTCTAATCACAGCTTGTTGCTGAGCGTGGGGCCCCTTGAGGGTCCAGTTTTAGACCATGACGTCATCAGTCTGCTTGTCAATGCAAGCTTCAGAGAACGTCAGCCCATTCGATGGGAGAATCAGCTCCTGCTTTGCCCCCCAGATCTGACGTAGCAGCTTTGTCATGCCCTTGAGACGGGACTTGGCGAGATAGTTCATCGTGGAGCTGCAGGTGGGGTGCTTCTCGGCCTGCTTCCAGCCTGCAGGGCGCTGCGAAGGATAGGAAGACCCGCCCCCCCCCCCATTCCGACTTCCCATCCACCCCCCACCTGCAATGCACTCTTTGTGGGAGCACGCGTCGGCCCTCCTGTGAGGGCCGTTATCGAGCACGGGCTGGACATACAGGGCATAGCACCTGGAATTTCGTCAGACACGCTCCTGCATGCACATGCATCTCGAAAGGAAGTCCATGAACTCAGTGCCCTCACAATCTCAACATTCGGATCCGCATCTCTTTCGGGGACGCTACGGTTTCAGTCAGGACGCATCGGGCTTTGCAGCATCATCTCGGAGGCATGCTGCTGGCAATAAATGCCGCTTTCGTCCTTGTTGCACCAACTTTGTGCCTGCTCGTTGATGGATGCTGAACAAACGGTATACGGGATCCGGGGTTCGGGTTCAGGGCGCATAGGCTATATGGGACCGAAAGCCAAAGCCCTCCATAAGGCCAGGAGGGACACCGAAGGTGGACCCACCTGCTTCTTCATCTCATTGAGCACAAAACTCTGAAGCGAGCTCCTGCGCGGCTGAGATGCTTCATGTAGGCTGTCGAACATGCAGATGAACGCTGAGGGTAGTTCATCGCCACTTAACGACAGTTTTCAGGGTCCTGACAACACCGAGAATTGTTTTTTCTTGGGGTTTGGGCTCTAGTGTTGATTGTGCAACTCAACTCTTGCTACGTGGGTCTACGTCCCTTTGCCTGACATGCAAGCATGCCACGCTTTCGTGCGCAAACCTCGCAAACCCGCGGCTCAATTTTCTGGGCTTCGGGATCACAGCTCAGGTGTACGATCACAACGGTTTAACATGACCCTAGACCCTGCAAACCCTCGCCCTCAACACGGAAACATCGAGAGGTCACGACGTGTTTCCGAAAACAGTTGCATGCGCAACAACACTTGAACTTAGCCGTGAATAACACCTCTGTGTCCCAAACAAACAACAAGTCAGTGATGCCGATACAATGCAGGGATTGCTGAAATTAGGGGTCCTTACTGGGGTCCTGATTCTAAGGGGATCCTACTATTTGGGGATCTACACCCTATAACCCTAAACCCTAAACCCTAAACCTTCGAAAACCCCATGTATAGTATCTCTGAGTCCTGCATCGATGGAAGTTGCTGGTCCCGAGCTGTGAGGCCGCGCAGACGGAGGGGGCGTAGCAACCGGCGAAGGCCTTCGGGCGGGAGCTGCTTAATACTATATATATATATATATATATATATTAAAAAAAAAATATATATATATATATATGTACACATATATATATATATATGTATTTGTCTCAATCTTCAAGCGGAGGGTAAGAAGGCTAGGTTGATGCGCACGGGGCGCCCACGCCCAGCGCCCGCTGCGGAGCATGGGTTTTTCTCGAGGCCTGCTCGCTGGACGAAGAAACGCGCTCTCGCCTAGTCGCCTGTGTGGCCCTCGCCGTCCTCGAAACTGTCATCACTGTTGGACGTCTGGGATCGCGAAATGCGTAACTGTCATCGCTTTTGGATGTCTAGTCGCAAATTGCGATACCGATAACCGTTGTCGCTTCATTTTGAAGATCTGGGCTTGCGAAATGCGAATATCGCTGTTGGACATCTGGGCTCGCGAAATGCGAAACTGTCGTCACTTCTGAATTAAGTCCGTTTTCTGAAGTAGGAACTGCTAACGCTACGTAGGCCGGAAATGCCCAAACTCAAAATATCTGTGTTGCGGGTTCGGAGGCACTGTGCATTGATTGACTGATTGGTTGGGCTGAAAATAGGTGAACCCAAAAAAGCTACTAGAATCAAAAGAGATGTGGGTCATCCTAGCGAACTGCCCATCATGGGACTCATGGGACCTGTTGAGCCTGTATGTTATCCGGAGCCTTACATCGCTCCGGGTACTTACGAGATCTGGCCGGATCTCGTGTCTTGCTTCGAGTCAGTTGGGAAGAGCAGCCCATGCAAACTACACCCAAACTTGGCATAACCACACAAAAACCAAGAGCCTAAATCCAAAAGGTCTTCAAATCCAAGATGCCTCGAAGAACTCTGCATGGTATCGAATGTTGCACTCGCCAGGGCTGCAGACCTCTTGGCTGACGCTGGTGGACACCGAGGGCATGTCGGCAAGACTGAAATGCCAGCAGCAACGCGCAACATGCCCACGAATAGCACTACCAGGTCGTCATCGCTGTCATCGCTGCTTTAGCCAGGAGGAGATTGCAGACTTTGCTTATAGGGAGGGTCTCTTGACCTGAGAATCTCTCGCCATGCAGCCTCATCCATGCTGGCTTGAGTGCTGGCGAGGATCACCTGGGCTGCGTCTTCAATCTATCGAGCCTAATTCGCGGCACCTTTCACTCCTGAAATTAACATTCCCTACTGTATCGGATCATCGAATTGCTCCTTCTGGAGATGCCTCGTCGAATGGGCTTTGAGGTTGGTGCTTGGTGGTACGTGCATTGTTTTCTGGCAGGCTTGTATGTCATGCCAAGAACTTGCTTCAACACCCCGTCTTCGTTCGCTACAATCAAGCAACTCCACGCCATGTGACACCACAGTCAGGTGTGATCCGGCTGACACGCGAGACATGGGTTCAGAGCGCGGCATTATGTTCTCCCCTCTGTAGCCAAACTTCCTGGCAAGCCTAACCACTCCGGCCTGCTGGGCCTTCGCTTTCATAGTGAGGGCCGGCGGAGAACGAGCCAGATCGGCGAGCAAGGAGTCGGAGCCTGCGAACGGAAAACGAACAAGGCACTAAAATACGATATACTCTTGCGCGTGTCCTAAAACTACACCCAATACATTAAGCAGAACTAGTCAAGATATATATATATATATATATGCCCATATATGTATATATATATATATATGCATAGACACACACATGTACACATACACATAACGTATACATAAATGTGCCCAAGCCAAGACCCACTTTCCACTTCAATTCGGGCCTATGGCCTTTCGACTATCCACTTTAATTCGGGCCTATGCTCCTTCCATTGTCCGCTTGTTTGAAGGCGGAAAGTGGAAATTGGGAAATGGGACGGACACAGGCCCGTAGGGAAAGTGGAAAGCGGGAAGTTTCACCCAACAAAAATGAAAAATGGAAGGCAGAAAAATCTCCAAGCACAGGCCGAACAAAGCGGGAAGTGGCGGCTCCTGCTGTGTTATAGTCCTCAATAAGACCAAAGTGAAGGTTTATGGCATTTCAAAGATGAGCTGAAGCATTTTCGCATAGGTCAAGACTCTTTACTATTCAACCCTGACATCCCCCTCTCTCAAACCCTTGAATGAACCTCGAAGGCTGAACCCTTCACCCTTAATTGCACGTTCAGGCTAAGATTGGCTGTTGCCGCGCTTACTGAGGCAACAACAGAACCACTGAGCACCACAAGATTAGGCACGCTATTCCTTTCTGTACCTGACGTCGCCTAAGACCTAGCCGGCCAGCCGGGCCTAAATGCCCAGTTTGGTCAATCGCAAACCAAGCAACCACCTCAGGGATCAGATGGCACTTGGCCGTAGCTGAAGGGCATCCCAGAAGCAAGACCTCTACATGTAGCATGTCGCACTTCGCAAGTTACGGCCTCATGCTGCTAAGCTCGCGTGGACCATAACTGGCCTACTTCTGCACATCTTTTGCCTCTTCTTTCGGTCTTTCTCGAACTGCTCTGGCGTTCAAATGGCTAGGTGTTCAAGGGGCCATTGGAAAGTATGCTTCGTTTCCTGCACTTGTCATCCCCGATCAAAGGCAGTGCGAAACTACACTGCATTTCACAAGATCACCCCGAGCAGCAAAACAATGGACTGTTAGACGCCGAGGTGCCGCTGCAAAGTTCTCGAGCTGATTGGTCACCTTGCATCAACGGCATTCAGTTGATGGCATCAGTTGATGGCCCTCAAGCACGCTGTATAGCGACAGGGGGCCAGAGAACGTGCCGGAAGCAATTGTTCCTCCCAAACAACTACAGCTAGTTTTTGCCAAAACTACGAGTTGATGGAGTTGGCATCGCATTCGTCTAGGCCCCCTAGGGCCCCCGAACCCTAACCCTGAACCCTGAACCCTAAACCCTACACCCTAAACCCTAACCCTTGAAAGGCCGCTGCCTGGCACTTCTCGGTCAGCTTGGACACCTGGACAACCACGTTCTGGCAATGCGCAGCAGCCTGGCAAGGATGAGTTTGTGACAAAGCCTGACGCCTTGACCGCGATCGTGTCTTCCTGGAGTCTTCCTAAACCCCAAACCCGTTTCACACTATTGTTTGCATGCTGTCTGCTTCCGGGCACAGGCTCGGAAAACGTGAAACAGCAGCTCCTGCAGTACAGTCGGCGCCCCAGCACCAGATGAGGGAATTCATGCTGGACCCTGCAGTAGGCGACCATATTGGTTCCACGTCGATGGGAATATCCCCTGAAACCCACATCATCCCAAATCCAAGACCCTGAGGTGACTCAGAGCAGCAACCCGAAGCCTGCAGGACTGCGTGTGCTGCACATCTCACCTCTTACAGTCTTACAGTGGGCCATCTTTCAGCATCCCTCGGCCTGAGATGCCTGAGCCCCTGAACCCTTGTCGATGTCTTGTACCCTCAGATCAGCGCCTCCAAGGCCTCATCACCATGCTCCTTCAGCCACTCGAAGTTGTCGAGCAAATTTCCAGTAACCACCCCTGCCTGCGTCACCAACCTGGGACATGAGTTGGGGGTCCCAGCTGGGCCTTGCTGAGTTACTTGTCACTTCCTTACATACTGACTCACTCTTCCGCACTCACCCACCCACTCACTCTCTGGTTCTAAAGGCTTCCCCAGGGCCTAAACCCCGAATGTGTCAACCTCAGGTTACTTTAAGCTGTTCTATCTTCCTAGACCTATAGCTGATTTCATCCACGGAGCAAGATGAGCACCTTCAGCGCTGCGCTCGCCATGGAAGAAGATCAAGAAGCACAGGGATGTTAAAACTGCTTGAGCCAGATCTGCAAAATCCCGATGTTTAAGGCTGTATGGCTTGCAGTCGCAGAAACAAAACAACCGCTGAAGTCCACTTGATGCATAATCCCGTACTCACGGTGCTCTAGGATCGTAGATGCCTGCCCCGGCGACAAGCTTGCTGCTAGTCGGCCAGAAAAGGTGTCATTCTGGGCGGTGGGAGAAAGCTGTCGTTGCAGGGTGCAGATACAACACGGAGCCAGCAACACGGGACCTGGTTATTGCCCTGGGCCAGAGGTTCAAAGGGACAGGCAGGTCTCGCCTTTTTTCTCGGAGGTTGTTCATTTATTTTCATGCAGGCCCATAGAGCTCGACGCCTAGGCGAGCATCTTGTAGGTGCGAGCAGCTCCCACAAGCTGGGCTTGGGCAGAGCTTCATTCCTTGTAGTTCCCCTTACATCAAGCTCTGAGCGCTCTGGCACCCAAAAGAGGCTTCCGAAAGCGTTCCAAGCCAACAGCCAATTGATTGACCTGAGGACCTTTGTGCAGCTGGCGGCTACTGTAAAGGCCCATCGGGTCTCAGGCATCCCACTCTCAACTGCTCTGCAATGAGTGCCTAATTATAGCACTCGAAGAACTAAGCCTACATGACCAGGGCTAGGCAGCAGTAGTTTCCCAAAGGAGCCTGAGCCGTCGGGCCAAAGGCAAGTGTAGTTGCAAAGCCAGATCTGTTTTGTTTGGCTTCAGGTCGTCGAGCTTAGCCGGCCATTGCCGAGCCAAATCTCGCCGTGTATGAGCTCTCTGGCAGGTTCCACTCCTTTGAGTGGGCTTCTGCTTGAGTCAAGCTCCAAAAGCTCTCGGAATGAGACCTCGGCTGGACAGTGACAGAGCATCTCCTCTCATGAAGTATGTGCATTCCTTGCGCCCCTCAAAACAAAGAAGGGGGCAGGAAATGTATGGCAAATCTGTGCTGCAGCCCCATACATTCCACTCAGTTCGACAGAACCACCGACGAACCACAACCTCTGTGGGGACCGCGAACAAGGGATCAATCCGGTTGGGGCGCCACCCCTCCAGCCCAAGTAGGGACGGACCAAACTGAGACGCACCTTCGGACTCTTCTTGGTCTGGGCCCCCAGCTACTGGTAGGAGTACATCGCAGGCTGATAGGCCGGCACTTGGTTGTAGTAGAACCTTGCCAGCATGCGGTGTGCTCTGCTGCCACTGAAACTTTGAAACGTCCGTCCCCTAAACCCCTAAAAGCCCTCAACATCCCGAATCTCCATGGACCACAAGGACGCTCTGCCAGAGTATCTGATCTTGACCGCTGAGAGTTTTGGGATGCTTCGCGCACAGCAGAAGCACTTCTCCCCCAAACCCCTTCAGCCTAAGACTGAGCGTGTACTGCAAGACGTCCGGTTCAGAGGCTGTCTGTGCTGCAAGCCCCGAACCGGAAGGAAGCACTGTGACGAGGCGCTGTGGCACTGGAGTCATCTGAGCCTGCTGGGCGGCGTTTTGCAAGTCAGGAGAGTATGTCAGCATCTTTTCTTTCTGTATTGCAGCAGCTCTGTTCCAAATAAAGAACTGCCACAGGCAGCATGAGCACAGAGTCGTTGCCTTCATGTGTCAGGGTATTTCAGGGTCATCCTTGCCTGCTGGGCCATGGGCTGGGCGACGGGGTACATGGGGTACTGACCATAGCCTGACCAGATGCAAGGCAAAGTTAAACTCAGAATGTAGAGATGTGCCTGTCGGGAGAATGACCTTTTTATGAGGGCAGCCGGGGACAGGATTGACGAAGCATGTGCCCGCGCACCCCTGTTAGCCTCGGCGCCCAAAGCCATATCCATCCCCCAAAACCCCGGAGCTCTGTAAACAAATCGAACCTATAGTCGTGCAATTCTCGTCCATCGCTTTAGATGGCTTTGGGGCATTTGGGGTATTGAAGTGGTTCGTCTACTTTAGAGACAGAAAGCTCAAAGTTTGCCTGCCGGCAGCGCGGGGGCCGCAGGAGTTGGAGCAGCAGGGGCAGGAGCCTCCTTCGACAGAGAGCTGAACTGAAAACATGCCAGTGCTAAAGAGGACAAGGATGCGGGGGCCAACAACCCATGTCTTTTCAGGATTCATCCACAAGACATCATCCCCAAGTGAAGTGGGCAAGAGTTCTGATGACCGCGCGAGAGAAGGCTAAAGCCCAGTTGAACCTTGAACCAGCAGAGCAACTGCAGTCCTCGATCATTGGCGCCTGTGCAGAAGCTCTCAAAAGAGGGTTCGGGGGCCAGGGGGCCCCGAAAATTTTGGGACAACAAGCTTGTCGTGTGCTGCTGCATGTAGCCCACGGGGATATTCCAACAACGACCTTCCAGGACCAGGACTAGGACCCTCAAAAGCACACATGTGAGATTTGGATCTTCTTGCCTGCTCCACGCCGACCGCGCGCTTCGACTTCTTCTGCGGACGGGAGCTGATGATCAACTTCACAGAACTTCTCTAAATGGGACATGAAGGGACAAGAGTCTTTCAACCCTAGGTTCCTTTCTTGATCAAGCTAAGCTGCTGACCAAGGACGGTCGGCCAATGTGAAAGCTCATGTGGGGTCAGTAGGACAGGCTTTTCAAGCACTTGTTCCAAAAAAGCCGAAGGGTTGGGGTTCTATCTCTGGAGGCCGGGGGCCATTTGCCACCCCGGAGCCCTCGGAGTGGAACGCCGGAACGGAACGGAACGGAACTTGATCATCTTTGTGCTGCTGGCTGTTGGGTTGCACAGCTGGGTTATGGTCCTTCTTCTTGTCTCCTCCGGACATGAAGTAGTAGGCACCGCCGGCCACAGCCACGACTCCCGCAACGCCACCTTAGCCGGGCAGCTGGATGTCAACACTTGTCGATCAACAGGAGAAGGCCATCGATTCAAAGCCAGCCTAAACGCACTAAAGCTTTAGCGCAGAGCCATGACCCGCAGGCCGAAACTTTGATTCACCTAAACATGATGACAGCCTCACCTCCACCGGTTTCGCATCTGATCAAAGTGGAACAAGTTGATGAAGTGTCTGAGCTTTAGGGTCCCCCACCGAGCAGGCCGTAGACCATGCCGTTGCCACCGTTGCCTTCAGTGGTGACTTCGGGAGTAGCTCCCAGGACCTGGAGTCAGGGAGGGTATCGAGAATGCTAGGCAAACACAATAAGCTACGTTGATTCCTTGACGCTCCTCCTCCTCCTCCTCCGCGCAAAAGCCAGCACGATATCTCAGGTTAGGGGGCTGCTTCAGGGTTACAAGAGAACGCCCCATCCCGGACCCGAAACCGTTGCCAAACCTCAGCCCTGTAGCTTGCTGTGAATAAAGGCGACCTACCTTGAGATGGGGCTCTTGCGCATGCTACATTTCGTTGCTACAGTTTTGTGGAAATTCCGCTTGGCGGTTTGAAAGGGTTAGTTTGAGGTCTAGCTGCATCTGGCTTATAGCCTACTGTAGGTAGGCAAGGCTTGATACACACCAGCACGGAAGACACAGAAAGTGCCTAATGGCGCGCAAGCCGGGCAGGGGGTTATTTCGACTCCTTTCGCACACGGAAGGCAAGACTCCACACAACAGTGAAGCGCGTCACCGCCCCCCCGGTCCACAGGAGCAACTAGCCATGACTGTTCAGAAGTTCAAGCACAACTGCAAAGCAGTCACGTTTCGTGTGCTGGCGCACTTGAGCCTTTTTCCCGGCCGTGCCTGTTGTTTTTGGTTCGGTCAGGAGACTGGACCGAATGAGGCCGGCCAAATCCAAGTCGTCGCTGCATGTCCCAGACCCGAATAGCATTTCTCTGACGCTTAATCTCTATATCTCAGCTACCAGTAGCAAATTCACGCTCGCAATGGCACCTTTGCATTCACGTTGAGTGGACCACCTAGCAACTTTACGGGAGGCCGACCAACCCGGGTGGACTGGGTGGCGCAAGAAATCATTTGCCACTGTCAGCTCAACGGCCAGGGTTCTTTATGGACCAAATGGCAAGACGGCATGTGAAACGACACATGTGCGCCCGAGCCTGCCAAGCTCAGCACATGCTGTCGTTTGGTCCAGGCAAGGGCGTTTGAAAAGCGAGGCGCCCTCCTTTCCGTTCGAAGCCACCAAGGACTATTGCAGAGGCCCCTGCGGCCGAGCTTGCGATGAGGTGAGCTCTTGCAAGAAATCCATGACCATGCTCAGGAGAGATGGCCAATTTTCTCGGCACAGCGCATCCAATCTCCTGTGGCCGCGGCGCCAGCTTCCTCAATGCCCTGAATCTTGCAAGGCGGTGCTCCAGTCGGAGTACTCGGTAGTCCAGTAGTTCTGTAATTTAAGGCATGGCAAACGCAGCACGACGCAAAAGCCTACTGCAGCAAGCGCAACTTGAGGCAAAATGACCACCCCAACCGGACGCACCTTCTCGTTTAATCCAGCTCCGGCAAGGGTTGGAGAGCTTTTTGGGGGGTTTGGGTTCAGGCCTGCGGCAAGTTTCTCGATAAGGCTGAATCGAACATTGCGAACGTGGTGATGGAATGTTTCACGGCTTCCTTGCGAACATACTTGACCCAATGCAGCCCATGCACCTCATCTGTAACCTTTCCGGCTTCTGCGGTCGCAGCCTTCGCAATGGCCTGGTATGACTTCTGCTGCAAAGCTCAGGGAGGCCAGGTCATGCTTGTGATAGAGTAGGGTTCGCGGGTTTCAATGGTTCACGATTCCGATACGCGGCACGTTTAGGAGAGGAAATCTGGGAGGCATGGGGAGATGTCTGTACAAGAGTCCCAGAGTCTACGCACTTCGCAGTTCTTGTCCTCGGCCTGTCACCATTGCCTATAGAGTCGCAAGGCCTATAGAGTTGCAGCCTCACCAGACGAAGCTACTCAGCTACTCTAAGGGCCAGGAATGGCCAGGAACAAGATGGGCTCCGCCGTAGAAACAAAAGCCGGGTGGACTGGCGCGATGGTTACCACTCCTGGCAGTGGCGGCACCGTCGGCACAGTCAGTGCGG